ATAAATAACACTTACCTTCATCAGGGTTTGAACCACTGAACTCTTGCTTCATAGCCCACAGTACTACCAATTATACCATCAAGGATTTTGTTGGTAGTAATGTTTGCAAATTGTTTTTATCTTAATTGTAATTTATTAATGAAGAAAATTTTTATATAATGTTATATAAACCCTAAACCTAACCCTAAACCTAACCCAAAACCTAACCCTAAACCTAACCCTAAACCTAACCCTAAACTGATTTGTACTGGATTGAGTTATATTGGACTGGCTCAAAATAAACTGAACCAGTTCAGAAGAAATTGAACTGGTTCAAAATCATATTGAACCTGAACTACAACATTTACAAAGTTTCGCTCCAAATACACCCAATTTCCATGCACAAACATTGCTGTCCACATGTTCCCAAGTATTTTGATGTCACATACAACGTTCTTGTAGGTGGGGAGAAGAGGACGGGGGAGGAGGGAGAGAGAGTACATATAGCACAACCCCATAAAACCATCTTTTGTGCTGTTGGTGTCCCAATTTATTTTGTCCATGATTGTAGTCTGTAACAAACTTTTCCCTTGAATTTCAGATTTTATATTATCATAAATTGCTACAGATGTTCTCACACAATGTCAGGAGATCTTCAAGCAACATTAGAAATATCAGTAGAATTGTCAACATTTCACAATGTAGATCTCTTTCAAAGAGGGTAAGTTTAATATTAGACAGAATCACTATCACTTACAATTATATAGTAATATCTAATAAATTACATGTAAATGATCATGAGGTCTGTACAGAGAAATGTCAGAGTGAGGTCTATGGCAGACTAGAAAGTTTGATATAAAGTTGTTTATTAATATTTGACATTTTTTTGAACTCCCACTGTTTTTGTAGTGGCATGCATGTATAATGTCATGTTTTCTGCTTTTTTATATAAATTAATAGTTTGTTTTCAGGAGAAGAGGCAAACATGAATTCAATGTTCAAGTCCTTGCTATCATTTCATAGTTCAAACAATTCAAAGATTGCTAAATAATCCTCAAAATGGACTATTATATGGAAATTTACTTGGATGACATTGTAAAAGCTTTTAAGCTTTAATTACTTTTTGTGCCAAAACGTTTTGTGCCATGCTTGAATCCACATAAACCCTAATTTGCTAAAARATTAACACCTGTAGAACAGTGCTCTGTTTTCTAGGTCTCAGTGCATTTTTTTCTAGGTGTGAGTGCAATTTTTATTAAATGTACAACATGTAGTTGCGTTCAAAAAATCAAGCGCCTAATATGTATATTGTAGGTTAAGGCTTTCAATAAGTTAATTTCAACAATGAAAATAAGACATACAGTACAGTGTATGGTTTTTTGAAATGCAGGTTTTTAAACACCTGCACACATTACTTAACAGAAGTATTTCATAAAATAATACATGTCATTTGAATTTACTAAATAAAGGTAGGCTTTTATTAGTAAAACTTCAAATCATCARATATAATAAATTATTGATATTTTTCATTTCACAGGTACTATCAAATAAGATGTAGTTTAAAGCCCCCAGAAAAATCTGTTACATGTATTGATGTTGAATACAGGAGGACTAATGGCGGTAAGACATACAATTGCAGTGGGTTACATTAATGACTGTGCAAAAACAAGGCACTTTTGTCATGYTGTTGAGATATAATGAAGTGAAAGTGATAACATTTTTGAACCAGTATTTTTAATTRGATCACAAGGCAAAGTTCTGGGTCTGTGRCGTGTTCTGGCTGTTCCTTACCAGCTTGCACAGTTGTACAAAATCTGCTCTGTGACACACTCTATTCCAGTGGATTGTAATTCTCTGATAACCCAAGTCAATCAATGTTTTATTCTTTGTATTTATTGATAACATGATTTCCAAATTAACGATCAAGGTAACACTGAAAATAATTTCTTCTAGATATTTTTTTTTACAAGTGATACCTTCAATAGATATGTTGTAGTTCAGGTTCAATATATCTTTGAACCACTTTAATTTGTTCCTTGTCTTTTTTTTTTTTTTTTGCTTTGGCATTCTTAAAAGAACTAAAAGAACTATATCCCATCTCATTCTCTCCCATTTTCTATGTATCATCTTATTTTTTACCTTCTACTATTTCCTACTTTATCTCACCCTATACCCCACAGAAATATTGATATTTTCTATATTTTTAATTTATGAATAACACTTACTTTCATTAGGGTTTGAACCACTGAACTCTTGCTTGATAGTCCACAGTACTACCAATTATACCATCAAGGATTTTGTTTGTAGTAATGTTTGCAAATTGTTTTTATCTTAATTGTAATTTATTAATGAAGAAAATTTTTATATAATGCTGGCTCAACCCTATTCCTAACCCTAAAACCTAACCCTTAATCTAACCCTAAACTGATTTGTAGTGGATTGAGTTTTATTGGACTTAAGTTGGACTGGCTCAAAATATACTGAACCAGTTCAGAAGAAATTGAACTGGTTCAAAATCGGATTGAACCTGAACTACAACATATATTTTTTTCTTTTTTATGATAATTTTTTTATGGTAAAGAGATATGGTGAGGATTTATAGGTATATAAGTTACAACACTAGCCACAACAACAACACAGTGCACAGTATGGTTATCAAATGGTATCACCAAGCCTGCGAGCCCCTAATTTAAAAATCTCCTTTGGCTGAACGATATTTCTGCTCAGCAATTGCAGGCTTCTGAGCCAAAAGCGATTTTAAATCTGAGCTGGTTTTTAACTATGGTCCAAACGATATCCTTTGAAAAAAAGGAGGTTTTAAAAATAAATGCAAACTTTTTGCGAAATAGCTTCTCAAAGCCAAAATCGCGACTTGAACTTTATAATAATATTTTTAATAAGTGTTCTTGGTGATTCGGTTCAATAGTAAACTTTATTGCTGGTAATTTCGATTCAGTTCGGGTCGGGTCGGGTCGGGTCGGGTCGGGTTGGGTCTTTTAACTAACTTTACAATACTCTTCTCTTAAATTTATACATACTAACTTGTGTTTACATAGAGTGATGCAATCGGTTGCATCACTCACGCTTATATGTCAAACTACGTAAATGAATGCGGCACTAAACAATAAATAATCTATTAACAATTTTGCTAAACCAAATTCATAGACTTATTTTATTCTTCAATCATATAGCTTTAATATGATATATAATGTGCTATGGGTTCTTCACATATGAGACACTAAAATTTTTCAAACTTGATAATTTGAAAACTCCAGCAAAGGGGAGCAGTAACCTCAAGYGCCGAGCTTGYRAGCCTTAGGSAATTTTGGGCRAGACTTGCGATTTCTGAGACACCATTCTATTCCCTCACAGTGAAAGAAATAAAGAGAAGAACAAAAACACTGCCTGACAGGATATTATGTTATTTTATATAATTGTCAAGATAGACCCGGAATAATTTTACTAACATGTACATGTACCAAGCCATTAAGAGCTTACTGGAAATGGTTCATTACTTGTTAATTTCACGTTGTGTTTTTGTTTTTGATTTTTTTTTCAGATTATCAGCCAGATGACTGTCTATACCCAGCACTAGTGACACCAACAGGACTAACAGCAGTTTCCAAGACATTTCAAATACTGTATAAGAATGAAGAGGTTATTCTTGCAGATCCTTTCATCTTCAGACTCAATATGCTGGTTGACAGCAATAAGGTGCACTTACAAGTTCTCTTAACATTATTTGTTCATTATTCTTGTGAAGTACAGGTACATGCACTTTCACAGTAACTTGAGTACAGGAAGTTGGAATTCACCCTCATAAATATTTTGATCAAGGCATAAGGCAGCAACATTAAACCTTGCTACATGTACCTTCATGAATTGTAGCTTTAACATATTACAAAACTCTGAAATGTCTTTGACTTTTATGCTGGCATTAGTGGCTTGTGTTTAGTATTAACAGCACRTTCACAGGCTCAACCAATCATATTGCTCTTATTTTAACAGACAAATCAACAACAACTTCAACATTCAGTGAGAGTTAATTGTAATTGATAGCTCACATGTCACTGTCTGTGCCACCAGAGGTTGATTTAAAATATGATTGTAATTTCTGTATTTTGTAAAAGCTGACAGATCAAATTGACCAGGCTGACGTTCAGCTGCTAGTAGAACTGTATTTTTCTGATGCAGAAGTTGGGTGAGTATTTASAAAAATGTTTAGAAAAATCCTTGTTTGTTTATTGAATAATATAAGTATGTTTATTATAGATGACTTGCGAATTTTGCCTCCGTAGTCACACAAAGGAATCAAGACGAGGTGCCGTGCATAACTCTCAGTCATTCGTGGAAAGACAATTTTTTTTTTATGATTTACTGAGCTTTTAGCACAACGCATTGTCTGGATTCTTTTGTGTTTGACAAATCGGCTATTGGGATGGGAGGGCTGGAGTGGGAGGGGAGGGTCATATATCAATTTTCAAGCTTTAGGGGAGGGTCACATCTTCACTTGAAAGCTTATCTAGGGAGGGTAATACTAGTTTTTAAGTTATTTTAACCTAGTATATATATCATCTATGGTTTACTGATCTTTGCAGCTTATTTAATAGCAGARCAACATAGCTACATGTAAGAAAAAATGATATACCATTGAGTCAATTTTTCATTCACCGACATATAGGGTTCCAGCAAGTACGCAATCCCGTACTTCTTGTTGCATCCATGTACCACCAAAGGAAACCCATACTCCAAGCAAAAATAAACTTCCTAGCAAAATATTTGTTGAAACTATTTGTGTGTGAACTCTTTTTTCACCAAACCTTTGGATTTGCTGGCTTTGCCCATCCCATTAGTGTAAATTTATATGGAATTGCTTTCTGTAAACTTTGATAGCCTAAGTAGACTTGTGAGTGTGGGATGGGGGGAGGGTCGTCAGTTAAGCTTTAGAATTACATGGTCACATATTTTTTTTGGAAAAAATATCTCAGAAAACTCCAGCCCTTCCCCGCAGTAATAAATGTACCTTCCCTAAACAAAGAAAACTGAATAGATGACCTTTGACATTTTTACACATGAATTATATTTATTTATTTTCAATTCTTCATCATAAATTAACTTTCTTCATTTTCAAACATCAAACTTTAATAACAAATCCAAATCCAACAAATATCATGAACAAACTTAAATGCTTAGAATGGTTTGGCTATATTGGTTGGCTACTGTATGGAATTACGGTCATCTCGCCCCATTGCCATCTCGCCCCCACCATCTCGCCCCCACTATTCCATCTCGCCCCACCATCTCGCCCCCACTATTCCATCTCGCCCCACCATCTCACCCCCACTACCGTCTCACCCCACCATCTCGCCCCAATATTATATGCGTTATAGTTCACATATCGAATTTCAGATRTTATTTATGTAATTCTAGCGCTATGTATGTGATTTATTACATATCAGAAACAAGTCTTGAATGCACTTGCTTATGAACTGTTAATGTTTTCCCTGTTTTCAGTCCTGAATCTCCAGATTCCCTTGTTAGCGTATCATCTCAAATACTCAAGCTTCACTTGTCATCAATAAAGGGACTACACCATCATGTTCCCATTCTCTTTGATTATTTCCATTTTGCTGTCATTGATACCACAATACATGCAGTTTTAGTCAAGCTTAGCCTTCCAGATCCAAGGTAAAGATCATTGTAAAATTGAATTTGATTTATGAGTGACTAAGCATTAGGTTATGAATATTATTCAAGACTACTATTAATAATGACATGTAATAGTCTAGAGAAGATTTTGTATGGCTTTTCAAAGGCACTATAATTAAAGATGACAGAATAATGAATACATTACCATCATAGCATAATGCAGTRCTGTCACAGCTGGAAAATGCTGCATTGCTTGTACAGTCATACAAAATCATCTCTACTAGCAATCAGTGTGTTTGATGCTTTACTCTTATGAAAGTGGTGTCAACAACCCATTCAGGGATGTTAGTATTTATACTGTACATAGCTCAATAAGAATGATCTTGCCTGTGTCATTTAAGCATTTTGAAGATACCAAAGTCATCATGGTTTTCCAAAGCATCAGCTAATACCAGAGTGCCAACACCACTGTTTTATGCTAAACTGTTTGGTAACAAACCTATAGATAATGTGCTTGTAAGTAAATTGCGATATTGTGCAGTAATAGATATGTGAATTTGAGGTTTTTGCTTCACTTCACAATGATTACAATAGGTGATTATTTTCTACCTACTAGTAGTCTAAAAGAACAGTTATTGTTTAATATTATATTCTACATGTATGATGGTTTCTGGCTTTGGCTTTTTCATACAGAGCACAAGGACTCCAGCAGAGGAAAGACAAATTAGGTTTGCATATGACACTCACAGGTTTGTATATTTATACACCTAGTTTCGTGAATGATGTCATAATGATAATTGTATCTAATATATTTTTATTGTTTGCACAAATGAAGTATAAATAATGTGGTATTTCCCTACAAACAATGCTTTTTCAATTGGATTACATTTTGATGGGATATTTGCAAGAAATTGCACTAAAATTTAACTAATTCAGCAATAAAAGACAAAAACTTGTTACTTTGTGAATTTACTAAATGATTGTGTCCATGCTAAGGTCACCATCATATAGCTCGCTCCATTCCATGAAATCAATCTTACTTAATAGATAATTTTCATGATGGCAACATGATGTGAAATTGAGTTTTAACTCTTTCTCAGCTATCCCTTGAAATTTAGGTCAAATTTGACCTATGCTTCTAAAGTCTATAAGTTACAAAAAAAATTGAATAGTAAATTTTAGTCCTTTTCATTGCTTTCCTAGGGAGCCACTATTATTTCTACAGGGTTCAATGCAAATTTAGTAGACTGACAGATTAATTCTTGGATTTCATGTAGACACAGCTCTAATTAACTAATGTACACATGATAGAAACATGCTGTCTGGTTAAATTGTCATCTTTCATTTTTTTGAAGGTCTCTTTGTAGTACCCTCCTGTCTGTCCAGGTTAACTTGTTGGCTTATTTTGAATGCTTGTCAGAGTTCTTGCCAGAAAGTCAAAAAATTCAAATAGGTATATTGTATTTGTGCACATTAACATAATTATAAATTGATTTAATGCAATACTGTATTACTGCGCTTCTCGATTACACGCGTCTCACAGAACAATCTGTTTGATTGCAAACTCCTTTTTTCGTCGAGTATCTTACCACGACGACACTCAGTCCAGTCTACGGCCGTGAAGTTGTTTTGGCGGAAAAATACCAGCTCGACGAAGATCGAACGCGAAAATGACAAAAGCATATTCATATTCGATGGAATGGAGGGAAATATTTTTACTGTAAGCCCCATTTGCAATAAACATTTGCTTAGCATTTGTACTGAGTAAACTTGTCCTGTTTGTTATTCTATCCAAGACTGCAATTCGTCTAAGTAGAGTTCTGGATTTCGTTCCACAGCTCTCCAAATAATTTTGAATATCTGCTGCTGTAATAAAGTGAAATTATTGTGTTTTCCAAGTAGAAAATTTGAAATCTGCTAAAAACCTGATTGTATAAAATGTACCTGTAAGCTTTCTTCTTTTGGACTTCTTCCTTGGTGCGGGTCATGAACAGACAATGTTTCCTCGTATRTCTTGATAACTTTCTTCACAAATGTCGTGTTTACATATAGCCTTTCAGCAATTTCTTTGACCGAAGGGCCTTCTCGTTTTAAAAATATTAGACAGATAGCGTCACCACGCCAAGCAATAAAATGAGACTGGTGTCCGAAAAGAAGTTCAAAAGAACTGGGCAGTTTTTTTTGGCGGTTTTGGCTAGATTTTGTGCTGGTTTTGGGTCGTTTTGGGTGGTTTTAGCTCGTTTTGGGTGGTTTTGGCTCATTCCATGTTTTAGTAACTATGATCAACAAATATGGTGTGCGGCATGAGAAGAAAAATTACGCTTTAGCTTGATTAAAATCAAGTTAAACTCAGTTCATTCAGCATTCAATAGTGGATTTATGACTTTAGACAAATTACTTATGATTATATTATGTAATATGAACACCTAACGAATCTACTCAACAATTCGTTAAGATGCGTAACGAATTGTCTGGTAGCGAATTGACTTCGGAACGAATTGACCGGTATTCCCTCTCATATGTACAGCACTTACAAAATGCATCTTAAAAAAATTCAGACTAAAACAAAATCATGTTTATCAGATTGATTGCTAATTCTTATGGAAAAGAAACAGAAAGTGCAAAACCTTTGCTAAATATTCTGAATATCTTAAATGTTGACATATTGCCTGTGCATGTTTTTCAATTTACGCATCTATGGCATTGTGCTGGGGCATTACCAAAACTATTTTATCACAAGTTTGAATACACCAGCAATGTTCACGATATAAATACAAGATACATGTTTTTGTAAAGGAAAAGTGAGAACAAATATAGGCAAACTATCAGGGGCGGCGGRGCCAGGGGGGGCACAAAATATTTTGGGGGGCCTGGTCCCTCCACATAACGGCTCGAATTATTCAATAATTCATTTTTTTCCATTGTAAAATGCATTTGAAAAAGTTCATGTGATGTCATCACTATAAGTCTATTTTTGCTCCGCCCCCTGACTATACCCTTATGTTAGTTATTTTGTATTGCTACTTTCCATATAGTTTTACAATGTAAACTATTTTGTAAGTAATTGTTTATTTTCTTTACCTTATGTTTTATTGCTAAGTTTCTCCTTAACATTTATTACTAGCATAYTAATTGTGACATTGAATAACAGCTGGCACTTTATTTTGTTAGCTAAAAAGCAAAATAAGCCATAAAATAGTTTCAGTTTCAAACATTCAAGCAAACCCTTTAGTTTTCATTGTTTCAATGAAATTACAAGTTAACATGAGTGCATTTGCTCATAAATAAAACAACAAAATTAAAAATTAAAGTACATATTCTAAGATATGATGATCTGTTTTTTTTACATCTTTTTCTTTCTAGGCTCCTTGGATTTTGGGCAGCGCTTAGATAGTTTATTACTTTCAATAGAGGTATGATTTTATTTAGCATTCAAATAAATGTTTTTTTTACCACACTTGTGTAAATCCCAACACGCTGATTGGCTGATTAGAGTGTGTCAATAAGAGGACATGCACACTGTGCTGACACCATCATGTCTCGCGTGCGCTCATTTGAAAGAAAAAATGATTTTTGCTAATTTTTAGACTAAAAATGTGGTAAAAAACAAATTGCTTATGGCTTTTCGTTGCATGTCCTCTTATTGGCACGTACACTCTTGATGTCATAAAATTTTGAAAACTTTGCAATGAACCCACTCACGTCATTTTATGACATCAAGAGTGTGTCAACAGAGAGTGTGCCAACAGAGAGTGTGTCAACAGAGAGTGTGCCAACAGAGAGTGTGCCAACAGAGAGTGTGCCAACAGAGAGTGTGCCAACAGAGAGTGTGCCAACAGAGAGTGTGCCAACAGAGAGTGTGCCAACAGAGAGTGTGCCAACAGAGAGTGTGCCAACAGAGAGTGTGCCAACAGAGAGTGTGCCAACAGAGAGTGTGCCAACAGAGAGTGTGCCAACAGAGAGTGTGCCAACAGAGAGTGTGCCAACAGAGAGTGTGCCAACAGAGAGTGTGCCAACAGAGAGTGTGCCAACAGAGAGTGTGCCAACAGAGAGTGTGCCAACAGAGAGTGTGCCAACAGAGAGTGTGCCAACAGAGAG